TTGCTTATTTAAAAAGTCGATCGTTGTTGGCTTGCAGTGTTCTTTAACCACCACATGGGGGTGCTACAGCTCAGACCATTCGCTCTAGTAAACGAGATTAAATATCTAAATGGTTTCTTTCTCTGTGCTATGAAATCCTAACCTAGAAACCTAGAGAGACAGTAGCAGAAGCAAAATGGTTTTGCTCTCCATGTCAGTCAAGCCATGCTCCATAAGAGCCTCAGCAGGTCTACCATTGGCCTGAGTAGTATTGTGTAATGCCATTCACAATACCATTGGCTTTGGTGGGCAGGATGATGCAATGGAGAAGAACAACAAAGATGACGACGGTTCATTAGAAACGTCTTTGGCATCAATATTGGACGGCTTGGGCTTTTCTTTGAACTAAAAGCAGATAAAGGTACCTTATTTAGAAAATGAATGAATTAGCATATTTTTCAACAGTGTAATGATTTAAATTACGTGTTATTTAATAAGCCATAAGGCGCAGGATTCCATAGGAAATATGAAATCAACCTTGTGGATCTGTGGGGTTATTTTAAACCAGAAGATTGGAACTTTTTAATGCAGGGATTAGATAACAGCTTCGTATTCACTCAGAGACAACAGAAGAGAGAGAGACAAGTTTAAAAGTTTAAAACTGTATTACTAAACAAATTAAACTAGACTAACTTTTACTAAATGTATGGTGTCACTAAGGTGAATGAGACGGAGAATGGTGTGATGTGGAATGTTGTTCAGAACCAGCAAATCTGAAGAAGCGATTAGTTCTGATGGGAATTGAAGGTGATGTCTTCGCGCTAAGCTTTGGTTAGGAGATTCATAAACACATTCAACGCCATTTCGCCGGCCTACATACCCTTAGCGGAAGTCCCCGTTAGATCAGCAATGTCGAGGTCCAGCTTGACCTTTTCTGGAACCGAAGCCAGTAGGAAAAGCAGCGGTTGCTGACCAGACCAGTCTGTGAGATACTTCCGGGTCACGACGATTTTGTTGGGGTCTAGCGAGACCCAAACCTGGGTCTTGATGGAACAGCTTTTATTCTGAAAGGAACCGTTGAAGCGGTTGGAACAGCAACAGATTTTATCCAGCTTGTCGTTGGTTCTTTTGGCTGAAGAGGAAAGTTACGGATTGGCCACTCCGACAACTTCTCTAGAACGCTTTGAACTGGCGTTAGAGATGACGTGGGCATAGTTTTATACTTCGGATGTTTTGGTTTATGGTCGAATGAAAAGATGACAGATTTACCAAACACCACCAAAACCAGGCCTCCGTCACATCTGGCAGATTCTGATTGGATCAGTGAAAGTAATGTGTCATGTCTTTTAACGCTACGTGATATCAGTCCTAGTGGAACATTTAAAGTTGTATTACTTAATATATTCTATAGGATTATAATAAAGTAATTCATATTTTGATTTGCATGGCGGACTGCCCCATTGACTGACATCCGCAGCAGTGAGTTGATACCTTGAAAGACAACCGTAGATTCCACCCCACGACTGAGATCTGTCTATGGGCCGTGGCCAGACTATATATACACATGTATAGGATGGCTTGCCAGGCTACTGAAATCCAAGACATCTGGAGTTGTGTTGAGAAGGCAGCAATTGGTTAGCTTATCAGATCCAACAACAAATCCGTAGCCGTTTTTACAAAACTATGTCGTCAATTTGCCGCAACGCTGAAGCGGCATCTGGGAGCCTTAAGTCGTTTATGAGTGGTCAGATAGACAGTTACCGCCATATTACTACCAAGTGAGGTGGAATGAATTCTGCAAAATTCGTGTTTTGCCATGCAGGTATGGCGCGTTCATAAGACACAACCTTATGTTAGTATTACGCTGATTTTCCGGCATGGTGTGTCTTGTAAAAAGGGCTTATTCCCATTGACAGTGAGCTTCCCCGGGTTTCCCACATGTATCTGTTGAGATACAAACATGTTTATGCCTCCAGTGGAAAACTGGGGTAAAGAAGGCCCCTGCTCAGGACATGAAGGAACACCGGCTCAACTTCGATCCTCTCCCACATATGCAAACTCCTCAGCTCATTGCAGCCAATCAAGGGGTGGCTGGGTGTGGCCAGCAGCAGCTTGTTTACCATAAAGTATCTTTCTGGAGTTTTCTACTTTCAGAAATGATGTATGATTTTTCAGAAATCCGTAAAAGTGATTATCTTATCATGTACTGTGATATAATGTAAGCAATATGTCTTTTTTTTTGTTGCTAAGCACGCCCCCTGCCCGCAGAGCTCTGTGCAATAGGAAATAGTGTCAGCCAGAACTAACCAATAGCGTTAAACTACCGCTTACCTGCTTCAAATTTAAGGAATACCTCAGCTGATGCAGAGTTGATGAACTTTTCACGGACGAGTAAGTCTCTAAAATGTTAAATTATGAAAACACAACATGACATGAGAATAATACTTGTGAAAGTACGTGTTTTAGCTCTGTCAGCTACAGAAGCACATTTATAAATAAAAACTGAAGTTGCCATCTTAAAAAAAACAGACCCAGAGATTATTTGTGTGATATGCTTGTCAGCCACTAGATGGTGCCTTCAGATAAGAGAAATACTTTGGAAAGAGACTTTAAACAAGAGCCTTGAATTGGCTCATTCTGGAAGGTACTAAAATTGTCAAGATTAGAGCTACTAAATTTGCTTTACATGAGAGAGATTTTGTAAAAAGAACTTCATGAACATGTTTCGTGTAGTCCACAGACCTATTATAACTGGTTTAAAAAGACGTATAAGTCCCATTTCATTTAGTCTACTCCTGCGTTCTGTCTACGCTAAGCTAACAGAGGTATCTACTTGGTTTAATCTGCACACAAAAGACTGGAATCCATCTTTTTGTCAAACGTGTGTAAATTTAGTGATTACAACGACGACATTTCATATGTAAACATTGTTTGTGATTATTTAAATGTAAATTAAACATGCTACATATTCTCATGTGCAATAGGATTAGCAACACACAGCTAAAAGCACAGAAGTAAACATGGCTAAAAAATGTGCACAAAGAACAACTCTGTTTTGTTTAGTCATTAACAAATCGACTAACATTATATAACAGCATGTTTGTGCTGTAAGTACAGACGTTGCTTTTCCATTCATGCTAACCTTAAATGCTCATTATTCAGGACACACAAACCCTTTTTTAGAGAGAACACGAGTCTGCCCCTTCCCCCGAAACACCACCCCATGACTCCTGATACTCAACCCTAAAAGCACACACCTCAGGCTAATCAGTTCACACACACACACACACACACACATACACATACACATACCACCCCCAACACACCCCACCCAGCACCTCTGGCTAATCTCTTCAAAGAAAGATGCTATCAGACCAAAAAAAAAAGAAACCCGTTGAAGCTAATCGAGAACCCAACAGCTAAAATCTGAGGAAGCGGGCTGACTGTTTAAAAGCCACCTTTGCCCAAGTGAGGAAACATTTTGCACTTAAAGGGGTGGACACCGGTCTTCTTAATGCCTCGCCGTCAGTGGACTCAGATTTGAGGACGTCATTCTGATTTTAAAGCTCAGAGAAGACGGATTGGCAGCGGTTTATTCAAACCAAGGTCATGGTATTGAGGGAAGTCCTAAGAGGCTTAATGCTCCAGAAAAGTTTCAACGTCAAGCTTTTGATCAGTCAGGAAGACCGTCGTAAGAAGAGAAGAACACTGATGATAGGGTGGGATGCTCTCAGCTAGAAGGAGCCCTGGGGTTTTTCCTTAAATCCACTCCCTTCATCCTTCCATCCCACATGTTGCTTACCAGGAACTACAAAGTCCTGTTTGTTGATAACTCCAGTAGGCCTGGGTCCACTTGGACTCCTTCCCAGATAAAGCTTGTGAGTTAACTCTTTCTAATAGATCTACAATCTATAAGTTCCACGAAGAGTGGGGATTTAGAAGGTTAAAGGTCATCTCTAACAGGTTCAAATTACTCCCTTCCATTAAACTTCCCAAGTACATCCCTGGAACACATTTGCCAAGAACGGTTTTCAATTTGTAAAGAGTTTATTAGCTGGGATGCATCACAGGGAAGGAAACATGAGAAAGGAGGGTTTTCCTGAAGGGGAATAGACAGGTGCACAATGTGAAGCTGGCCTGGCTCACTTATTGCACCGTTTATCATTAGAGCAACAGCTGAAGCGGGAGGACGCATCTGCCAAACACCTCTTGGAGGGAATTCTTTTCCTCTGGATTTCTGCCATCTTGGTTTCTATGACTTCCTTTTAACATTTCTTGTATTTAATACAATTTCTGGGGGCTTCCCCCCATTTCTGCTGTAAGGATAAATCCTTGGTATTACACCAAAGACCAAAAACCAGTAATATTCAATGAATTGCAAAAGAATGACCATGATTGTAGCATCCCTTACAATGTCAAACCCATAAAAATACAGCCAGAATTCCAGAAAAGGGAACAAATACTTGCTACACAAACAATACTTGGTCTGTAGCCCAAAGGTAAATAACTAACCCAACAACAACAACACACTTCCTCCTTACATCCCTAAAAAACCATCCAACCATGGGAACCTAACTCAAAAGCCGGGGCCATATCTTCAATCTTTCCCAAACACACAAAAAAAAGCAATAGCAGTAATGTGCTGAAATTTGAGAAACTTAATAATTACTGGCCAACAATGATGGAGGGGAGTAACGGTCAATGCATGAGTGGACAAGGCATGCTGGTGTGTGAGCTGGAGGAGGGGATAATGAGTTTAGAGGAAGGGAGGCACTTTGATGACTTTTAAAGAAGACCTCTGACCTTTCAAAAGGTTTAGAGACAGATTAGGGTCAGAATTGGGGGGGGGGGGGGGGTAAAAATAGACCACGCTCTCAGTTTGATGTTATTACAACTAATGCACGTCTTACAGGAATGTGGGACCTTGCGTGTCACCAAAAACAAGCCACACGATTGATAAATACACAGTCGAATAATGTGATGGTAAAGCGCAATTTGGGCAGTATCGTCCGCTGCCTTACCTTGTTTGAAAGCTCAGTGCCTTGAGTTTGGTCTTCATAAGCAGCGACATTCTCCCATGTTGCTACGACAGCATGTGTGGGTGCAAACTTTGCATCGGGGAACCCGCGACGTACCTCCTAGAGGAGTAGACGAATGGATGAGCGGGAAAAAGGAAAGAGGACAATGGATTGAACTGATGGATGAAGAACCAATGACAGGAGAATCAAAGTTAATCAAAGGACATAAAGGTCCTGAAAGGTAAGCCAAACAGTCTGTTTATGTGACGTACCTGGGCTACTCTGTTGAGTACACTGGGTGTTTCCGTCACTCGATAATAAATGTGCCCTCGGCCTCCACTGGTGTCGATGTCAGCCAAAAATGGAGCCACAACTGGGAAATCCGTTGGGAATCCATCATCAACGTATTGCTTTTCCATTGGTAGGTCCTGAGCTGAAATGATGCCATTGGTGGCCACCTGAAGCAAGAAACAAAGTACAAAATGATTGAGTGTATAAGGGTAAGACTTTGGCATCTTCCATCATCTCCAGGAACAGCATAGTGCAAAGGGCATCTGGGTTTTATTTGAGTTTATATGTCCACAACATTGTTACATGTTTAATCTAAAATCTATGAAACATTCTTCCACCCTGAACATGTTTTTATCTTATTATTTTTTTTAAATAATAATAATGCATTGAACTTATACAGCGCTTTTCTAGACACCCAAAGACGCTTTCACACACTCTCACATTCACACACTGCTAGTGATGGTAAGCTGCTTGTAGCCACAGCCGCCCTGGGGAGGTCTGAAAGAGGCGAAGCTGCCATTTGGCGCCGTCAGCCCCTCTGACCACCACTAACACAGGCAAGTTGGGTGAAGTGTCTTGCCCAAGGACACAACAGCAGGATACCCCTGGCGGGAGCTGGACTCGAACCCATGACCCTCCGATCATGAGGCAACCCGCTCTACCACCTGAGCTACTGCTGCCCCATTTTTTCCATGTCTCTTTATGGCCTTTAATAGTCCGCTGTGATTGGTCCAAAATGGGGTAGGGGGTTCAATTTCTCATTATAGTTCAAACATTTTTAAAACTTTATTTTTGCACATGTTGAACTTTTTCCAATTTCTAAAACTGTTGACCGGCAGAGGTCCTGTACTCGCTGCTTCAGATAGCTTTGTAAAATGTTTTTTTCTTCTCTGTTTATGAACATTTCTTCTTCCACATTTGTTTGATAACTTGGCTAAAGTACTGCCATCATGCCACACGACACCCACCTGACCACAAAGACATCCTAATTCACAGACAATTTTAAAATTAAAATTATTTTGTCAAATTCCACTTAGCACACCTGGGCTTCCGTACAGTCTCTTCTCTGCTTTTAGAGCAGCACTGTATGTCCACATACAGTCAAATGAAATATTTGTTCTAAATAGTTGATGTCTACATTTGTTTGATACAAATGTATTAGGCTACATAGGACTTCATATTTATATGGTAGCTTATATGGATTTTATTAGGATAAAATCATTTGGGTCTCGTAATTGAGAATGTCAGTTATATGCTTATTATAAAATAACAGACCTTCCTTCCACAAGGAAGTTTTACCTCCAGAATAAATCAGAATCAAATAAAAAATTTCTAATTTTTTAGGATTTTTCCCCAAAAATGTATTGTTTCATTTACTATTATTTCAGATTATTCTAAATCTGGCAAAAGCATGTATCAGGTCAGAGATGAAAAAGAAAAAGAAATCAGCATCAGCCCTCTAAACCAGGATCAGTGCATCTCTGATATCTCTGCAGGATTTTGAATTTAGCTGCTAAACCAGACTTTTTTTTTCTTTTTGCAGAAGAAGAAACACTTTGATTGAAACCAAACACGGTTTATGATTTTAATAACTACAGTAAACGTGTAACTATGAAAATGAGAATCAGAAGATAACATGTGACCAACGCAAAATGAAGTTTTAAATTACATTTTTAACCATGTCATTAAAAAATTCTAATAAATTGTACTAAATAAAAAATGTTGCTGTAATCAAAGTTTGATTTTTTTTAAATTAAAGTCCTTTAAATAAACACATTGAATGATGCAACAACCCCAGACATCAGCTGTTGAGTGAATTAAGTCCTGAACTACTTACATACAGCTGATGGAAGGGGGTGTCATAGAAGTACAGGGGTCTGGGCAGTGTGAGCACTCGGGATGTCTCATCGTCGCCTTCTGCTAGAATTAAATCTCCACTTAAAGCTCCATAAGAGACCAGGTCAGTCCGGTGGAGAGCTGAAACCACGCACACGCCGCAGCTCCAGTACAGCAGAGCCGCAGCCAGCACCGACCCTCCGTCCATGTCCACGCCGAGGAGGGAGCTCTGAGTCCGGGGCACAAGCACGCAGGGGAGCAGCAGAAAAGGAGGAGAGCAGTCCGATGACGGTCCTGCTGCTCCGCTGGAAGTAAGTAATGGGGCGGGGGCGGGGTCAAGGATGTTAGGCTCGACCTGATTGGTCACTGGCCGCATGATTGACAGCTGGCCAGAAACATCTGGCTCTTATTAGGTGAAAGACAAATAGAACATTTTTCATCTGGATGTGACTGTATCTATTTCTAAACACACACACACACACACACACACACACACACACACACACACACACACACACACACACACACACACACACACAGAAAAAATATTTACAAGAATAAATTGGCCAACAGCTTGAGGAAACTTTAAAACATCTAAACTAAGTAAACGTAATCGACTTTTCACTATAGATCTTAACTAGAAACACTGACGTCAGAAAGCACATCAGACCAAGTTTGCCATCTAGTGGTAGCAACGCCACACTGCAGCACCCAAAATACCCCTTTTGAAGCAATTAACTAAATAAACTGTATTTACTACGTGTTTTTATCCTATACAAATCAATAAATACAGGATATCTAACCTAAAACCAACATTAATAAGTGTTTTATACTTTTTTACTTATTAAAAAAGGGATAAACAAATGTGGTGGACCAGCATCAATACAGGTCAAGAGGTCAACGAGAATACATTGACTAGTGCTCATCAAGGTGTAACATCTAGACAATCTCTAATCATCCAAGGATCACATCACCTCCCAGTCCAAAGCATGGCATTGGCAGCATCATGGTTTGGTGATAGTTTAGCATAAACGCTGCCCTGGTCATTCATAAAACCAGAAGATTCCCAACAACCGTGACCCGCTAGCAGGAATGCAACCCACTAATGTCTGTTAGTCCTCATTCTTGTCACACATCCTCCACGTTTTTCTCAAATATTTGCTCAAAAATTGATGTCATCTCGGAGAGAGTCACCAGACGGTATGGACAGGTTTAAAAACCCAAAATTGGCTTCACTGAAGGACTGGAATGATCAGTTTAAAGACTGAAGGCAGAGAGGAAAATTATCTCAGCCTGACCCAAACAAAGTCTTGTTATCTGAAACTGACGCCCTGGTAGCCTTGAGCTGCTAGCAAATAAAACCCCCACGAAGGAATGCAGACAGATGCTGTGAAAACCCGAAACCCCCCCCCCCCCCTCCCCCTCGGATTGGTGGACTTCAGCCTTGCGAGGTCATCAATCTGCAGGAGTCAATGTGCTCTTCGCTTCTCCCAAGATCTCCCTCCCACCTGTGACTGTACAGTGGATGAGCGCCGTAGATGGCTGCTCTCGCTGGGGGAAACAGGATCCCAGCCCCCCCCCCCCCCCCCCCCCCCCCCGCCTTCCTATTGGAGTCTCATGTTATGTTGTGTTGTCTGAAGTCTGTTGCATATCTGTTGAGCTGTTTTTTTGCAGAGCAAAGCTGCCCTTCTGGTGGAGGGTAACTCTGAAGTGCCTTTTTTTCCCTCCACCTGAACCAATCCTCATGTAACCCCTCTTATCTTTGTTAAGGTAGCGCGACTCGGGTTGCGAATGACCAATTCTTGTCATGTGTCTTGCCCATGTATGTCTGATCTCTGAATTGTGTGTACTGAAACTCTAATTTTCCTCTGGGATTAATAAAGTATTGATTGATTGATTGATTGATTGATTGATTGAAATATACAGCCTGGTCCATCCATCAATCAGTGCTGAGTCGTGTTTTGTATGGTAGAAGTCTCCTTAACACTTAGTTAGTGTCTAAGAATGTGAAGCTGCGTGGCATTCCTGAGGTATATTTGTGCTACGACTCCCCGTGCCAGCATGAAAAAAGTTTTTATAATTTTAAAACAGTTCAGATTTTTTTCTCTTTGTCCTTCAGATTAAAACAAGATGTTAGCCTTCTTTAAAGAATCTCCTACTGAGTGCCGTTTCAAAGTAACCACTTCCTGTTTTTCCAGCTCAAATAGCTGAAGGATCCAATCACAAAACGGCTTTTTTATTCGACTGTTTTGATTGTTTTTTCTGTTTCTCTACAGATTTAGCCATGATTTCAGGCCTTAGCCTGGGTCTGGGTGGAGTTTAGGGCCGGGACTTTACTTTCTAAAAAAATTAAAAAAAAAAAACAATTTAGATGATTGTTTTTTTCTTTTCAAATACGAAAGTGACACACTCATTTAACACTTAATGTAAACTGTTGGACGACATGGTAGAGGTTTGAACTCCGACAACAATCCACAAAAAAAAACATTATTTAACTTTGTGGTTTTTAAGCGTTTGTGTTTCTGATCCTCCTCCAACCACAGATACAAACCCACAGCAGGACTCTGTTCCAGAACAAGATGCTGATTCTGACCAGCTTCCTTTATCTTTTTGTTGTTACAATTCAACATTCTGACCAGATTCAAACAGTGGCACTTTTAAAATCCAACTCAAACAAATAGACGTAAAGAAAAGTGTGTGTGTGTGTGTGTGTGTGTGTGTGTGTGTGTGTGTGTGTGTGTGTGTGTGTGTGTGTGTGTGTGTGTGTGTGTGTGTATAGAGTTGGGGACAGCTTACATCAGCAGGACCAGGAGTATACTTGAGCAATCAGATATTACGTGAGTTAAAATATGAGGGAAATGAAATTTCATTTAGAAATTGATCTTTTCAATGAAATTTGGATTTTGAAACATGATTATTGTGAGGGAGATTAGAAATTTACAATTAACAGGATGACAAATGAACAAGTACACTTCAGGTGTTGTACTTGTACTAAACTGTCCTCAGGCTCCAGCCTTGTTTTATATTGATTGTATTAAAACTAAGAAAACAATCTGACGTTTTTTTTTATTTTTATTACCGGTCCGGCCCACTTGGGACTATTTCCCTCAATGTGGCCCCTGAGCTAAAATGAGTTTGATTCCCCTGCATTAGAGGATGGGTACATGGTGGTCATGAAGGGATGGACATGGTCAGAAACAATGCTCAGGGTTCCCGTGGCATTTAAACCATGTTCATTTGGCACTAAGGGGCTTAAAGTATGCCAAGAAAACATCCCCCACACCATGACACCACCACCACCAGCCTGCACAGTGGTGACAAGGCTTGATGGATCCATGTTCTCGTTCTGTTTACGCCAAATTCTAACTCTACCATTTGAATGTCTCAACAGAAATCCAGACTCATCAGACCAGGCAACATTTTTCCAGTCTTCAAGTGTCCAATTTTGGTGAGCTCATGCAAATTGTAGCCTCTTTTTCCTGTTTGTAGTGGAGATAAGTGGTACCCGGAGGGGTCTTCTGCTGTTGTAGCCCATCCGCCTCAAGGTTATGCGTGTTGTGGCTTCACAAATGCTTTGCTGCATTCCTCGGTTGTAACGAGTGGTTATTTCAGTCAAAGCTGCTCTTCTATCAGCTTGAATCAGTCGGCCCATTCTCCTCTGACCTCTAGCATCAACAAGGCATTTTCGCCCACAGGACTGCTGCACACTGGATGTTTTTCCCTTTTCACACCATTCTTTGTAAACCCTAGAAATGGTTGTGGGTGAAAATCCCAGTAACTGAGCAGACTGTGAAATACTCAGACCGGCCCGTCTGGCACCAACAAACATGACGCTCAAAATTGCTTAAATCACTTTTCTTTCCCATTCTGACCTTCAGTTTGGAGTTCAGGAGATTGTCTTGACCAGGACCACGCCCCTAAATGCATTGAAGCAACTGCCACGTGATTGGTTGATTGGATAAATGCATTAAGGAGAAGTTGAACAGGTGCTCCTAAAAATCCTTTAGGTGAGTGTATTTCCGACTTCTGGTGTTACAGCTATACCTGTAGTTACCCACAATGACCAGAAGGTGGAGACAAAGACAGGGCAGAATCCTCTGGCGGTTCAACTGCTCTTCTTTCTGTACATATGTTCAAATACTTCTTTATAAAATGTTTATTAGTAAGTACTGGAACATAAATGTAACCAAAGACAATCAAAATAATCTATTTTTTCTGGTTTTTAAGTGTGTGTGTGTGTGTGTGCGTGTGCGTGTGTGTGTGTGTGTGTATTATTTAAAGTTTTATGACGACAGATTTACATGCTAGGACTAATTTGCTTACCACTGATTTGAGAGAGAAACATCACTAGCAAGTCAGATATCACACATCAACTCATCTCACTTTACAAAAGCGTTTAAAGACAAGGAGAGAAAAAAGGATAATCTGGGAAATAAATACTGGAGACAGATGGAATAAAGACCTGAGAACAACAGGAATAACAGAAGGAAAGAGGGGAAAACAGGATTGTTTTTTCAGGCCACCAAAGCAAAGGATGTTAAAGAGGCAGGAACAGAGAAACTACTAAAGGAAAGAGAGGAATGAATGATAAAAGGAAAACAAAAAGATAATGCATGTTTCTTCAGCTGAAGGTTGCATTAAATAGTCTAATTCTACTACGAATCACACTCAGCTACTTACAGCTGAAACATCAACAGAAGCAAGTTTTGAAGCAGAAAACCACAGGAAGTGACTCGGACAAAGAAGCGAGGCAGAGGACAACGTGATGTCATCGTGTCACCATTAAGACTGTAAGTGGTTCTGCAGAGAATGGCTCCTGTCCTTTTGGAGCTTTTAGCCTGCATCATTTAGGACCCAGTTTGGCAATTATTTACCATACAAACTGGGTAAAATTACATCATTATGATATTTCAATGCATTATCAAGCACTTGAAGTCTCTAATGATAAGCACATGTTGTTCTCAGGGCTTATGGTTGAACCCTCATGTTCCATTTTTTTAGCTAATTCAAGCTACATCAGTTGTGTTCATTGGATCCTGACACACGCATCAGAAATAAACATGAAGTAGTACCGATCCTGAGCTACAAAACCAGAATGTTGAGGTGGAGATGTGTCGGGGCAGAGGAAATCAAATATATCTTTCATTCTGCAGCTGAAACACGTTTTGGTGCTTCAGGCGAGGCGCGACCGCGAAGAGTTAGCGTCGCATACTCTAACAATATCAGATTACACAAAGACGCGTGTCAGCCTTGGCCTCAGTCATATTTATATGTCAAGAACTGTTGGCTCAAGGGTACCAAAAAAGGTTCATACATTTTTTGTTTTTGTTTTTTGCATGATTCTTTAAAGGGGCGTTATGGAAGTTTGACAGCCAAAACATGTATAGAAATAATAAATGTCTTCTTCATACATTCTCCTGCAATGCCCTGGTCCTGTGGAATGAGCCCTGGCATTTTTACCGTGATTGCCTGTTTTTCTGTAAAATCACAGAAAAAGAGAGATGCTCGGGTCGAGCAGGCTGCTTCATGCGCGTTCACGCTCAGGCATAGCCCGTAGCATTTGCTATCCGTAGCTTTAGCAGCAGAGAGAGAGGCAGTGCCACTTTGTTGCTGTTCCTAACGCCTATAGTGATGAACCTAGCTACATTTCTGAGGACCCTTAGCTACTTTCTGTAGAACTTTCTTCTAGATATTTCCTGCAAATTAGCAACAAAATACCGTAAATCCTCTAATATTGGCCTGTATTCAATTAACAGCCAGGTCTCATATTTTGGCCGGTGCCGGAGTCGGCGGAGGTGAATAATGGCCGGTATTTTATTGTGGCCGGGTGGAATGAGGTAACAAGCAAGTACGGGGGGCGGTTGTGTCATCCATCTAACTTTTGATTTGCCATTGATAGACCGCGAGGGTAACTTTAACCGTGCGGTGATGAAGAGGAGGCGAAAATTTGATATCAAGTTCAAAGAGAACGTGCTGATTATGCTGCAGAACACTCTGGGGAGCAGTAGCAGGGGTCGTATGAATTAGTCGACTTCACTATAGTGACTTTTTATGCCTGTCGTCGACTAGTCGCTGTCACGTGATAATGACGTGAATTTAATTAATTAGCTGCGCATTCTCCTGTCTGTCCTCCACGCCACACACACACACACACACACACACACACACACACACACACACACACACACACACACACACACACACACACACACACACACACACACACACGGGACTGTCTCAGCTGTTATTTTCGTTAAGGAGTGTGCACGTACAGCATGCGCGCCTCGTGCACGAGCCTACTATTGAAGCTGCCATTACGCTTTTGGCCTGAGGGGGCAATCGCGAGCAAAACAATTCAAAAGTCCGTAAAGTCCCTTTAAATGTTCTCAAACTACGCAAAACACAAGCCTTCTGTTTCTAACCAAACAGTCTGGTGGGTGGGAAGAGTCTGATCTCAGCTGTTCAGGTGTGGATTAGCTGCTGGGTTACAGTTGGACACTAGAATGCTTATTGCTTTGGTCTACAGATGAGGTCATGGCGCCCAAATCATCATCTCCCCACCACCGTGCTGTCAGCCTCTTGATTTTTATTTTTGAGAGGCGTTATTTAAATAAATTTTCTTCTTCCTATGTCAATTTAAGGTTAGAGTCAAATTCCACAATGTAGAATTCAGGAAATGTTCACCGTTGGTTCCCTCAGGTTGGCCTCAACATTTACAATGTGAATTCCAGGGAATGTTCTCTAAAGGTGACATGAAGGTTAGCTCCAATTTCACAGTGAAAGTTTCAGAGAACTTTCAGTAAACATTCACATTGTGAAAGCGAGCTTTAACTGGCAACGGTGAGGGAACTGTTTAGACTATGTGCCCTATTGGTTCCCTAAAGAATGGGTTCAACTTTTACAATGTGAATTTCAGGAGATGTAAGGAGATGTAACTTTCATTGTGTAGTTTTTGGGGAACTTTCAGGGAACATTCACACTGAAAGCTAACTGCTAGCTAACTGTTGTGCTAATGTTCCCTGAACTTTCTCTCTGTTACAATATTATTAAATAGTTACATTACTGTAAACTTTAGGAAACAATATAGTAATCTTTAGGGAACATTTGACGAACATAATTTCACATGAAAACCTTTAGAGAACGTTCCATGAAGACTCTGATTGAAGATTAATGTTTCCCGACAGGAACTTAAAGAGACAATGTGTAGTTTTTACCATTAATTTCTGGGAATATCCATCAAAATGTTATTGAAAAATCTTAGCAGCTAAAATCAGGTCTAAAATACATAGGAGCAGGTCTAACGGTGTTTCTCAAAGTCAAGGCACCTGGCCTTGGGAGGCGATGTCCTGTGACGCCAGACGCCTTGCTTACGAGGACACTGTGCTTCCTTGGTCAAAGAAAGCAGTTAAATGGAACAGACTTGCATCTCAGACATCAGGGCGAGGTTCCTTGGAATTGAGAAAAACCCGTATTGGAGACCATGTTTCCTTCTACGGGAGACCATGAGAACAAAATTCATTTACAGATTTGTAACAAACGATTACAAAAATTTTGCCATTCTTAAATGTTGTTTCACACATTTACCTCTTCACTTGTTGCCAGTGATGAAAGGGAGTCTGACGTGCTTGTTATTTTTGCTGAAGTTTGCACTCCCCAAAGCTTTTTGACCCTAATGGGCATCCGTTGGTAAGGTCTTACTCCAACACAAAAATGCAGCATGCTTGCAACAATTTGGGTATCTACGCCCCCGATCGCCAGGAAAAATACACATTGTCACTTTAACAAATTTGTGTGTAACTTATCAATATTGTAAGTATATTTTTCTTTTAATAACTGAAATATTTTTAAATGGTTACAAGTTAAATTAATTAATGCTAGAATATTTGTTTCAAAATAAAATCCGATAATTCAAAATGATGTGCATACTTCTGCTGGGTTTACTCTTCTGTAAAGCTTTAGAACAAAACAAGTGTTGTGGGTTATTTTGTACACCCTGGGTTTGTTTGTCCTTCCCTTACCAAACAGTCTGTTCTGTGTTTTTAAACTGTCATGGTGAATCAGTCCTTATCCAACTGCAGGCAAGGCTTGTCCCTCAGCGAGATCGAACTTGTACATCGGGGTGGGCGTGGCCAATGGTGACGTAACCGCGTCTTTTCTCGGGTCCATTCATGCCAGCCTCCGCCTCATCACAGTGGCGCGCGCCTCGCCCTCAGCACCTCACCTATCAACCTGAGCGGCTTCGCCAGGAACATAAAACGACCAACCGAGGATTTACTTTCTTTGCACGGGAGTCCGACGTGTCCGGTGCCGGTTAAGAACGGGAAAAAACCCGAAACATGACGTGAATAAACTCATAACAGGTGAGAAAGTTTACTATTTGGATGCTTTTAGTCGCTTCAGGTCCACGCGCCTGCGACAGACGACGTGTTTATTATAAAAGTGATCAAATTTAAAACAAATTATACAATTTCAGTGATTAAATGCAACTAACCCAGTTTCGTGAATGTTATAAGCTTTCATTCGGTATTAATTCAACCATTTATGAGTAATTTATTAATTAAATACCCGTTTTTAGTGTCAGTAACTGATTTAAGTAGGTAAAGGAAACAGGAAAGGGTTTTATTTTAAGGCTTATTTACGTTTACTGATAGTTAACATAAGCAAACTTTCACACAGACAGTAGGAATCCTCAGACAAACATCTGGACACATCTGTTAGACAATTTAGTCTCATGTGTCCACTTCTGACTGGTTTTAAGGACGCTTGATGCTTGTTTTCTCCAGCTTCCCTGATGAAAATCTGGTCAGAAATGTGGAAACAGGAGAAAATGATAAAGTCTGAAAGTGACAGATGAGAAAGTGAAACACAGAGTTTGTTCTTGTGAACGTGAGATGACATCATGTCAGCTGATATCTGTTGATAGAAGAGGAACTCACAGTTTCACAATCCCAAATCTGGAGCACTAGTTGAACATCTGAAATGATTTTGAATATGTAAAACGTGCCTTTCACATAAAACTTGTAGAGAGAGATTTCTCCTCTAGATAAGTTAAACCAGACTGAAAGCCTGCAAGCAACAAATTAGAGGCAGCTGAGCCACCAAAGCAATTTGAAGCTTGAGGAGAAAAGTAAACATCCTTTCCTCGTGATGTTGCTACATTTTGTCCAGGAAAAGGAAGGTAAAGCGGGATTTCGATGCTTGAAATATGCAGGAAGATCAAAATCACTAATAAAATCAGATAGTTATTAATCACAGAAGGTTCCCCGATGAGGGGGTTCAGCGTCTGCAAACCCTTCATGTTGGTCTCTTTGAGTCCAGTTGTGAAGGTCACCCGAGATTCCCCAGCTCTTGAAGGACAAACGGAGAGTCATCAACTAATCAAATGCAGCACTCAATTTTTTTATATGCATTAAAAAAATATTGTGATTCTAAATTCTGTTGAATTGCTATAGAATTTATTTGATTAGGGCTTTGCAATTAATCAGGATAGTATTTTCATTTCAGCCAATTGCAAAAGTGAATGTAATGCATAAGTAATCAATTAAATATAAACATTAAAGTATTTTATTTTCTAAAAATTCCATGTAATTATTTCATATAATTGGTAGTGCAGCCTTCAGTATCGACCGATACCGATATGAATCCGATCCGATATCGTAGTTTCGTAGTGTGGGACGCATGAAAGGTTTGATCCAGTGACAACATTCAGAGAACAAAAGCCATCAACAGCAAGTATAAAAAAAAACTACCAATATTTTTATTAACCATTAGTTGCATTCAGAGGTGGAAGGAGTACTAAAATGCCCCTACTTAAGTACGAGTACCAATACTTTGATGATTTTTTACTCAAGTAAAAGTAAAAGTACTTGCCTACATTTTTACTCAAGTAAAAGTAAAAAGTATTGTAAATACAATGTACTATAAGTGAAAGTTACTTAGTTACATTTTTGTCAGCGATGTAGGATGACTACATCTAAGTAATGCTAAATCATGCCAGCTCCCAACATGCTTGCACGTGCGCATGCACACACACATGCAGCATTTTAGAATCATTAGAATTAGGGCTGCACGATATTAAGAAAACCTGCGATATTCGATAACAGTGCTTAATATTGCGATATCGATATTACTCACGATAAATGAACAAATACTAAAGTATGCAGTGTTGATGGAGCGGAGATAGTGGAATTTTGAGGTAAGGGTCTACGTAGGGGGCGGGCGTATTACGTGAACGGACCCATCTGATTGGCCATATATCAGAAGGACTACATTTGATTGGTCAAATAATACTTCCGCTTAAAAAATAGAGCTCGTTTACAAAAAGTTGATGTTTGACACGGATGGAAATGTTTGAACCAAACATTTATCGCCGTTTTTGACGTGCTTTGCGATGGGCCTATCGCACGTCCTGTTATCGCGATGACGATAATTTTTCGATATATTGTGCAGCCCTAATTAGAATGATTAATTTAACTACATCGAACTGCTTTAGCAATAACCGAATCTCTTATTTTTGAGTTGAATAAAGAAACAGGCTAAATCATCACATGTCTATAGCATCAAGAAGCAACTTCTGAGTTCACACACACACACACTCGGGGATGGAGCACAATGTTTACAACTGAATTAGCTCCAGTATTAAGTGTTGAGCACAAACAAGATGTTTAAACTCACAGAGGCTCTCAGACCACTCTGGGAATCGGCTTCTTATGAGTGCTAAACGTTATTTTGCCGCTGCCGTGTGGAGCGGTTGGGAAAACACATTTCAAAGATGGAATCGAGCAGAATACTGATGATGTAACAGCGGTGTGCAAATGTGCGAGTTTCGACCAACAGGAGAGAACAGCGAGTGCATCACAGGGACCAGACTGATGTTTTTGAGCAAAACTGTGGGAAAAGTGAGGCTGTTTAACGTCCTCGTTATAAAAAGTGTACACCCACAAACCCCACGGCTGAGACGCAACGTGTAATATTTTTAATTTATTAAGCCTATAATTCTTTACTCAGTAACGAATAGGACAGAAAATGTAGCAAAGTACAATTCTTTAAAAAAAAACACACAAGTAATAGTAAAAGTACAGATTTTAAAAGCAACTTAAAAAGTATAAATACACAAAAAGCTACTCAATGACAGTAACGTGTGTAAATGTAATTCGTTACTTTCCACCCTTGGTTGCATAAATGTATACCTTAAACATAAAATAATAAATAATACATTAAAATAGTCTGAAAAATGTTTAAGTAAACATATAAACAAAAAGATATCTTTGAAAATACTAATTCAGGGTCACGGGCTGCTTATATCGGAGATATTTGATGCAGTGCGATATAATCCAATACAGCGTACAGGCCGATATCAGACCTATTTCAGATATCGGTGTCAGAACGGGACATTCCTACCTTTTAGTGGTCACAGGAGTCAAATTCAAGTATTTCTGTTATTGTAAACTTTATCATAGCTTAAACCAGCGGAAGTTTGCGATCGTGCATGTTTCGCTTATTGCCTTGGTCTGAACTCAGTGGAATACCTTGCTCTTGAAAATTAAATGGTAAATGGTAAATGGCCTGTATTTGATACAGCGCCTTCTAGAGTCCTGGAACCCCTCAAGGCGCTTTACAACACAGTCATTCACTCATTCACACACACATTCACACACTAGTGGTGATGAGCTACGATGTAGCCACAGCTGCCCTGGGGCGCACTGACAGAGGCGAGGCTGCCGAGCACTGGCGCCACCGGTCGCTCCGACAACCACCAGCAGGCAACGTGGGTTAGGTGTCTTGCCCAAGGACACAACGACAGCGACAGACTGAGTGGGGCTCGAACCTGCAACCTTCCGATTACGGGCGAGCACTTAACTCCTGTGCCACCGTTGCCCCAAATTAGACAGGCTCCTTCCTTTGCACCCTTTAAGTTGAGATTGAAAACTCATTTCTTTAGCTTTAGGTTGAGATGAAACTTGAATTTACTGCCTTTTATTGCTTTTATGCGTGTTATTTCATTTTAGTTGTGTGTGTGTGTGTGCGTGTGCGTGTGTGTGTGTGTGTGTGTGTGTGTGATTATTCTCTGATGTGTCCAGAGCTTTGGTCTCCCATTTGGGTGTGTAAAAGTGTGTCACAAATAAGTGACTTGACTTGACTAAGTATGATTAATGTAATATCAAAGTGACCAATCTGACCCTGTAAAAAGTCTATAACCTCCCACTGTCCTAATGGGAGTGCAAGGAAAGTTGACCATTGAGCAGGATTGATGGTTTATCCCATGAGGTCCACGTGGCGGGGGTGAGGAGTGAGCACCACCACACCCCTGCCACATGGACCCAAGGGATAAACCATCAATCCTGCTCAATGGTCAACTTTCCTCGCGGGGTCACCCATAAAGACAGTGGGAGGGTTAAAGCCCTTTGATCTGAGCAGGTGACTGGGTACTCAGTGTTCGACTGAAGCTGACAGCGTTTCTTATTGGTGCGACTGTTGCAGCTCTAAATCTGACAGGTCTTTGTTCTTCTTTCTGGTTTGACAGGATGACCCCAGACAACTACTCAAAGTCTCATGTTGGGGGTTTAGTTTAGATAAAGGAAACCAGCACATATTAAACTAAACCAGTCATCTGACATCATGGATGAGCTGAACAACACGGATTGCCACAACCAACCCACAATCAACACAGGTGCACACATGTGGATCAGTGCCGTCATGTTTGGACTAGGCTTCTTTGGCAACGTAGCGGCCCTGCTCATCCTTGAAATACAAAGGCGCAGAGACTCCAGGAACAAAGACATGAAGCCAAGCGGATTGTTTCACATCTTCATCCTGTCGCTAGTGGTCACAGACCTGACTGGGACGTGTTTGACCAGTCCAGTCGTCCTGCTATCGCATGCGATGAACACAACTTTAGTTGAGATGATACCTAATTGTGAAGTTGTGTGCAAGTACTTTGGTTTCAACATGACCTTCTTCAGCCTGATCACTCTGTCGCTCCTCCTCAGCACGGCGCTGGACCGATGTTTTGCCATAGGGTACCCCTACCTGTACTGCCAGCACGTCACCAAGAAATGGGCCTACGTTACAATCGCAGTCATGTTTTTCATAAGTATAATGCTCTCTCTGCTTCCGTTTGTTGGATTTGGTAGATACGTTCAATACTGTCCTGGAACATGGTGCTTCATAGACATGAACCCGCCTGATAAAGAGGACCGTGCCTATGCTAACCTGTTCGCCACAGTCATGCTGGTTCTTGTACTGACCAACGTAGTGTGCCATGGTTTCGTGGTCTACCATCTCTACAAGATGTACCAACGGCGAAACAGACGGGGCTCAGTGATAGCGACGATGAGGTCCAGCAGCAAGCGCAGGATGATGTCCATGGCTGTAGAGGTGGAGCACCTGATCCTGTTGATTGTCATGACCATCATCTTCCTCATCTGCACGCTGCCCCTTGTGGTAAGACAGACGTCATGTTTATTCTTCACAAAAGTGCATGATCCCGTAGCACCCAATTCAAAATTCATTGACTGTTCACAAATTTAACAAAGTTCTGCAGAACTTTGAGTGATCTTTCAAGGTTTTAAAGGATTTGACTAACAGAATACATTATTGTTTATGTGCAAAATTAAGTGTTTTGTAGTCGATGCTTAAGAACTACAAAAGCTAAAGGGACGTGAGTGGGAGAGAGACGCTCAGCTTGAGAATTCCCTGCCCCAAACTTTGCACTCAGCTTTGGGGTTTTTAATTCTTTGGGGGGGCGTTGGCGTTTTAGCGAGCCTTTTCGTCATTTTCTTTCGGTTTGTGTGGAGAGACGGACCCAACTCCAGATGACTTAGGCCTGGTTTATGCTTCTCCGTCAGCTCCGCAAGGGCCAGACACGCACGGATTGACGGAAGCGTTTTGCTTTTTTACTTCTCCGTCTCCTGGAGAGTGTTGCAAAGCAATTCCTCGGCAGGACAACAGAGGGCGTAGCGCTGTTCTGTGGTATCCTGTCATGCATCGGTCCAAGATAGTGTGTTTATATTGTGTTTTTTGTGTAAATAAGAGACTTTTAACACGGATATATTTGTCTCTCATTCTCCCACCTCTTCATGCGCTCCCCACCTCTAAACCCACGTTTCCTGTCATTTCCGTCCACAAATAAACGCTTGCTGTGCATCTTTTCACTCCTCCAGTCACGGGAGGATGAAACGTTCATATTTTTAGAGTTTTTTCGCGAGGTATTCTTCAAGCTTCTCCGTGTCTGCCGCTAGTTATCCTCGGCTCTCTTTGCAATGGCGGCGCTGTAAACAACAGCGGCGTCCTGACCAATCACAAGCTTGCGTAATCCGTCTCGTTCGACGGATGTTTAAAAAAGTGGGCTCGACTCCGTACGTACTTGCGTGCCCTACGCAAGGACGGATAATGGCGTTGCGTGTCTCCGCACTGACGCAGACGGAGAAGCATAAATCAGGCTTTAATTGTAAATATTATCAGTTATTATGTCTCTTACACACTGATATATTCTGTAATCTCTCTGAATGTTTTGCAACAGGTTATTTTTGCTTCAGTTAAATACCTTTAAATATGTTTTACCTCAGCGTTGTAAAAATAACATTGTGAAATAACAAAGAAATGCATCAAGATGGAAAAATATTCAAAGACACAAAGAAACCAAACCAGTGTAGTGATGTCAGAGATAGCTGATGACTGAAAGGTACAATCCCCAGTGTGTTTTTAACCGTTCCTTCAGAGAAGCATTTAAATATCGTTTTTTTGACTTTTCCTAAAATAAATTCAGTCTTTAAAAAACCGCAAATATCGTCTGACTAAATGTTTCGCAACATATTGTGATGTATTGTGTCATACCGCCAGAATTTCACCAATACACATCCCTAGCAGACAATATGGATTGAAGAAAGTTTTCACATTCAGAATGCAAATGCAACTCAGAGAGAGTGATTGTACTTGAAAAGAATTATACAGTTTTTTAGTGAACAAGACCTTTGCGTCTAGGGATCGACTGAAATGAGTCTGTCCTATTTTAACTGGATCTCAGCAGGCTGCGTGTTAGTCCTGGGTGTGACTGCATACAAACTAGGGCCCGACCGATATGCCTTTTTTGGGGACCGATACCGATATAAAACTTTTAACAAAGGCCGATAGCTGAGATAATGGCCGATAAATCTCCCTCACACAAAAAAAGAAATACAAATTTTCTTGAGCTTAAACCCTTCATTCTCTGCCTTTTTGATGCAAACGTATTTCTCTGTTACACAGCAAAGAACTGTCTCTATAACTCACTCGGGTTTCCAAGTAATGCAAATAAGATTTATTCAGCAGATCGCAAAAACAACAGAACACGCAAACTGCCCTGCGGTGGACTGGCTCTCTGTCCAGGGTGTACCCCGCCTAATTGCCCAATTAAGTTAAAGGAATATTCCACCACTCAGTAAAGTTGTGTCTTGTTAAGATTCCCAGAGTTAGACAAGTCAGAAAAAGCATTTTATAACCAGCCCAATATGATCTGGCAGCAGTTGGTTGTCTTACTTTAGCATAAAACAATGTAAGTGAATTCACATACACTGTAGTGTTTTTTTATGTAGGTGAATGCAAGCCTTCCCTTCCATTGCTTTATGCTAAAACAACCGGTTACAAAATGTTTTTTCTGACTTAGCTAACTCTGGGGAATCTAACAACACACACACGTTTAGATCCCTATAAGAATATTAAAATAATAAAAATGAAGCAATAAATAAAACGTAATACTTGTGCTTTGTAACAAAGTAACACTCTGTGGAAGTTAGCTTGGTGAACTTATTCACCCTGCACAGGAAATAATTGCACATAAGAAACATAAATAAGAATACATTTTTAAAAAAGTTCCAAAACAATCATTTGTGTTCAAAGTTCAAAGGAGTGGAGCCACACAACATGAGTTCAAAAAGCTGGCGCCATCTGCTGGATAGGAAGCACAATACCAGCCATATCGTCCGTCTTTTTGGCCGATAGCTGATACTGTTAAGCTTGGTTTATGCTTGACGCATTTACTTTCCGCTTGGTGATGCGGCTCGCGGATGGAACGCGCTTCACAACTTGCAACGTTTATGGTTCATGCGGCTTGTCTCTGCGGTGAGCCAATATTCTCCCAAACTGTAGGGGGCAGCATGGAGCTCTACAGCATGCATCCAACACTACACGATAGTAGAAGTAAAAATTACTGTTGTTTACAACATGCCATTCCAGCATTTTTTAACAGCGTCCTCGTCTTTTCCGACAGTGCGAGCTATTTCTCTCCAAGAATTATTAACAACATGTTGATCACGGTGATCTCTGAGAGCTGAATCATACAAATGTCTGTATTTACGAACCTCTGCCATACTAGTTCTTGCCAGTCCGCCATGTTTTTCCGCGTCCGACCGTCCGCTTGGTTAGAAAATTTCCTAGGTGAGCGGTGCGGAAAGTTTGGGCCGTGCGGAGGCGCGGTGGAGGGGCGTGGTTGTTAAAATGACGCAATTTTTCCGCGTGGACCTCGCGGACGCGTCAAGCATAAACCAACCTTTAATGACCCCAATATCGACCAATAATATCGGCCGGCCGATATTATTGGTTGGACCCTAGTGCAAGCCATTAAATAAATCCAAGATTCAGAAGTGTTTCTGTGACTCGTTTAAACTCAGAGTCGTGGTTCCAGTGTTAGCCATAGCTGAGCCTATATCCAGAAGAGTTTAAATGAAGCCAACTGGACTTCTTTGGTTTCTTGAAGACGTTTTGCTTCTCATCCAGGGAGCAGTAGAAATTACTCCGAATACCCCTCCTCTCTACCCCTGATGAGTCGTTAGCCTCTATTGTGAGGGAGTTGTTGTGTTGTTTAGATGCAGGGAGGTGTGACTTAGACCGAAACAGCTTAGGACTGAGATTCAAAGCTGCATTATAGGTGCTGGAAAGGTGAAACCTAAGTTCCTCCTCCCCTATTGAATGTAGGGGAGGGGGACTACTTTAAACACTCCAGAGAAGTTGGGGTTTTCTCACTCACTAAGCCCAAATCCCATTTTAGTTAAGCTACAAAAGAATAACAGTGCAATAAAGTAATCAATTGACTGAAGTTCGCCCAGAACTCTAGATCAATGAGAGTCTGTAAATGACCCAAACACACAGCCAACAGCCATTACACCTGTCTGAAATTTGTCTTCTCAGCAATCTGTTGGGAACCACATCGGCTTTTAAGTGTCACTTTTGACATCAAATGTGAAATCCATAACTGTTTTCCCATAGCGAATGGCGTTGTGCACTTAAGCATAGACTGCTGTAATGGACTGACGAGCCGACTCCTGCTGTCGGTCTCAGCGCGGCTCCAGAGAAGATTCCTACAATAAGTGCTGAACTTTTGTGTTCACTGTATTAACAGGGATACGGTATACGTAGACAACAACCAGACAGAAACAACTGCATGAGTTTTCTCTTGTAACATTGTGAGAAGTTGAGAGCCTTCAAAATCTACCTGTCAGCGAGGATTTCTACCTGTCCTCCCCTGCAGGCATCCTCTGTAGACAAGTCAAGGACACAGGGATCAGCTGTCATCACTGCCTCCATCAGTAGGACTCGTCAGGAGGTTTAATGAAACAAATGAGAGAGAGAGAGAGAGAGAGAGAGAGAGATGAGGAGAGAAGAGAGAGAGAGAGAGATGAGAGAGAGAGAGAGAGAGGAGAGAGAGAGAGAGAGAGAGAGAGAGAGAGAGAGAGAGAGAGAGAGAGAGAGCGAGAGAGAGAGAGAGAGAGAGAGAGAGAGAAGAGAGAGAGACGAGAGAGAGAGAGAGAGAGTGAGAGAGAGCGAGAGAGAGAGAGAGAGAGAGAGATCAAAGGAAGCTGTAGAGGCGACCTCTGAGCTGTCAGTACACTCTAAAACATTAACTGGTGAGAAAGTAATGGATTATCTTTTTTATAATGGCACCTGACAGTGGGAGGGACTTCTTATTGTTTTTTATTACAGCAAATTATTTAATCCAAAGCAACTTTTAGAGATAAGTCAGCTGATGGGTTGGTCAAATAAGTGGCTGGTTGATTCATCAGGCTTGTCCATATATTTGTTGGGCAAGTAATCAGGCGATTAATTTATGTCAGATAATTGATCCGTTGATTAATCTATTGGGGGAATAATTGGTTGGCTGATAAATTGGTTGGACAAATAATCTCTTGGTAGACAAGTGGTTGGTGATTGTTTAGTTGGTCGAACAGTCAGTCAGTTCTCTGGTATGAGGAAGAAAAGGCTGCGTCCTTAACTTTTAGTCACGTTAAATAAATAACGTTTATGAATTCAGAACACTTGAGGTACTTTTCCATTTTAATTTCTTTTTTGGGATGTCAGAAAGGAGTTTATGACTCCTGAGTCACAACCAAAGGTGTTGTTAAATGGTAAATGGCCTGTATTTGATATAACACCTTCTAGAGTCCTGGAACCCCCCAAGGCCGCTTTACAAC